CCTGAGTTTGGGCTCATAGATTCATTTTAGGTGTCAGTTTCCTTTAGTATTCAACCTTATGCTCCTTAAAATGTAGCTCAGATGTCAGATTTGTTGACTATAATATTCCTTACTCAAGACAATGCTTTTAGGAAAAAAAAAAAAAAGGAATTTAAATTCTATGCATATATCAAATGGGAGTGCTCCGCAAACCAAAGAGAGAGAATGGAAAGTACTTTTTAGGAAAATGGTTCCTCAAAAGAGCCATGCTAGTTGTTGGCTTTAACTTTCAGCTCTAGTGAAATCACTTAGTGGCAGACGGACACCCAGCAATCCTAAAAGTTGAGGCTTGAATATGAATGGTGGAAAAGTTTCTGTTTTCTATCCTGACCCAGAAATCTGAGACCAGAATCTATTCCAGGTGCAAAGGGCTGCAAGCCCCACTCCGTGTCCTTTCTGGGGCTTCCCAGAAAGTTTGGATTCACTGTTAGGCCATTCAGTCTCCAAGGAGTGTTTGGACAAACTCCCTAGGCTTGCCCCATTGCACCAACGGCAGAGGTGGAACTCACCCAGCCTTGGTTATGTTGGCGATGTTCGTAGATGACGTTAATGTTTAAAAAACAAAAAAGGAAAGGATTAACCAAAGAAAAATATAGGTCCCTACAATTTCATAAAATGTACAGTCATTTCAAGTGGATTAACCACAATTTTCTCATTTGCCAGAAATCTACTTAATATTTTAAGGAGAACATCTAGTCTAATTAATACCTTAATTAAGTAATTAAAAAAAAAAAACCCAAACTCATTGCCGTTGGGTCGATTCCAACTCATAGCAACCCTATAGGACAGAGTACGGTTTCCAAGGAGAGGCTGGTGGATTTGAACTGCTGACCTTTTGGTTAGCAGCCAATCTCTTAACCGCTGCACCACCAGGGCTCCAGTTAAGTAATACCTTAGATAAAAAAATCTTTAAAATTTAATACTGACCTAGGACAGTCAGGGTATGAAATAAGAGGCCAGGAATAATTGATTGGAGCAGCTTATGAGCTCTTCCTAGATCAGATCTTCCCACGGTCACTTTATTGTTTTCAAGTAGTATAAATTCCTAGAAATTTCTAGTGATGTGTACCAAATTCCATTCTAAATTGAACATGAATAACTTTTGGATTACTGGTCACTTTGTATGACCATATTTGGCCATCTCTTTCATTTCTATTCATAATGAAGGATACCAAAGTAGCCTAGATACATGTAAAATGCTATTAATCCACAGCTTTCTTCAGTGTCCACAGCCCAAGTCTGCCATTAAAATGAATCTAGTATATCTTTTAAATAACATTTATAGTCATTAACATTCTTATTTCAAATTCTCATGGGCTCCAGACTTTCTGGAGCCATGAAGTCTGGACGAACCCTTGAAACTACTGCCCTGAGATCATCTTTAAACCTTAAACCAAAAGTATCCCCTGAAGTCTTCTCAAAACCAAACAATAGTTTAGCTTAGCTAGTAAAGAATGTCTGCCTGGAGCATTGAGGTCATTTCAGATCTATCTACATGGGATCAAAATGACAATAGCAACTCAAAAGATTAGGTAAGAAACTTAGGGGGCGGTGAGTTTATGTTAATGCCGGAGGAACAACTCAGAAAAGGAGGGTGAGAATGGTTGCACAACTTGAAGAATGTAATAAATGTCACTGAATTGTACATGTAGAAATTGTTGAATTGGTGTATGTTCTGCTGTGTATATTCTCAACAATAAAAATAAATTATATATATAAAAAAAGATTCCTGCTGTAAACTGCCTAAGTATATGAACCCCAATTTAAAGCAGTTAAACAGAGGCACAGGTATATCAGATAGTCATCATGTAAAATAAATATGTACACTGATCCAGTCACTCCTAAGGAGATGAAATAGATATTGAAGAATTATTACTTTGGGTTTGATTCTGAAGTAGATATTGAAAAATTATTATTTTGGGACAGATTTTTTTATTAATATGGAAAGAATAATACCTGCTTTAGGTTTTTAAATGAAGACCTCCAAATTATAGCAATATGACCTGTAATAGTGAAATATTTAAAAAGTTAATAAGGAAAGAGTTGTAGAGTATTTCAGGGAAATTTTTCATTTGTATTCTGACAGAAAAGAGAAAAACTCTAAACATCCAAAAAATGCATATAAATAATAATCCTACTGAAGAGAACTTTATTTGATTGATGTGTCCTTTGGCTCTTGTAGTTCAATATAGATTATAATAAACATAGAGGAACGAGAAGAAAATGATGAAGGACTTAAGAAGTGTGAATTAATGAATTATTTCTCTTAAAGAATACATTGCGGGTTAAATATCAACCATCTGAAAGCCTTTGGAAGATCAATCGTAAGTGGCTCTTGAGAAAAGGAAACATTTAGAAATATTTCAATCTTAAAGAATCAGGGTGGCCCAATGAACAAACTTAACTAAAATCGAGACAATCAGGCTGCAAGAGGACGTACCAAGCACCACCTATGAAACACTTTTGCCAACAAAACTAATTCTGAGTCTAATCAAGCCTATAGATCTAATTACCAGCTTATAGGAAATTCTGGGAACAGATGAATGTGTTAATGGTATCACGAAGGTAAGATAAACAAACTCCCTGAGGGACTGAATTGCTGGGCAGAGGGCTGTGGGGACTATGGTCTCAGGGAACATCTAGCTCAACTGGCATGACACAGCTTATAAAGACATTCTACCTTGGTGAGTAGTGTCTGGGAGCAAGGGAGAATGAAGAGAACAGGATACAAGGAAAAGATTAGTCTGAAGGACTAATTGTCCACAGCTACCAAGGCCTCCACCGGACTGAGTCCAGTAAAGCTAGAAGGTGCCCGGCTACCACCACTGACTGCTCTGACCAGGATCACAACAGAGGGTTCTCGACAGAGCTGGAGAAGGATGTAGAGCATAATTCTAACTCACAAAAAAAAGACCAGATTTACTGGCCTAAAGGAGACTGGAGAAACCTCGAGAGTATGGCCCCCAGACACCCTTCTAGCTCAGTGGTGAGGTTACCTCCGAGGTTCACTGTTCAGCCTGGGAGTGGACAGCCCCGTAAAACCAAATGAGACTAATGAGGTACAGGAGTCTAGTGAGAAGGGCCAGAAAGCAGAAGGGGACAAGGAAGCTGGTGATAGGGAACCCAAGGTTGAGTAAGGATATTGTTGACGTGTTGTGAGATTGTTAACCATTGTCACAGGGCAACATGTGTAGTAACTGTTAAATGAGAAACTATTTTGTTCCGTAAGCCTTCATCTTAAGTGAGGATAACAGCACAATTGGAAGAGCGTAGTCAATGTCACTGAACTGTGTATGTAGAAATTTTTGAAACGGTGTATCTTTGGCTATGTGTATTTTCACCAAAAAAAAAAAAGGTTGAGAAGTTAGACGGTTAATATGTTGTGGGCTTGTTAACCAATGTCATAAAACAACATGTGTACTACTGTTCCATGAGAAACTATTTGTTCTGTAAGCCTTCACCTGAAGTACAATAAAATATTAAAAAAAAGAAAAATAAATAAATACATATTAAAAAAAAATGGGTTGTATGTGGAAGATTACATTTGAAAAAATTTTAAAAGATTAGTTCTTGCTACTTTACCTTTGTCACACACAGTATTTTAGTAAAATTATTCCTGATTATTAATCACATTTCTGAACACCAGCAGATATGGACAAGTATCCAGACCATCTCTTGATGTAAAGATATGTTCTGCAAGCATAATTTCTATTTTCCAACACTGTCAATAGATTGGGTCCCAAAATTTTGTATGAACAGTCGAGAGGCTGATATTTCAGAGCTGAAAGAACTCAAATTTGGTAGGTTCTGAGAAAACACTTGCTTCACCCTGTCACCTGTTACACAGCAACTTACATGATTTCAGGGGGTACTTCTGGATGCCAAGATGACTTCCACTGGATGTCTGGCACATAAAAGAACTCTGCCCTAAATGCTTTTGGACATGCCACCATCCACATAGCTACCACTGGAACTGTGTAAGTTTAGGTCTATTTCAGCCAGAAGAAATATGGGAGTCTTTTCTAAATCTCAGGCGAGGTTTGTGTTTGTCAAGTTCCTTTAATTTCTTTTAATCTTTCCTTATTGCATGCTTGTGTTGGGCTAACAACAGATTAATACAGAATGTTTATACTTTATCTAGTTGGGCATTAGCTGTCTGTTATTTATCTGTTCTGATATAAGCTTATGCAAAGAAGAATTGCTTCTTGTTACTTATATTAACATTTTTTCTATTACAGAAGTATAGATTAAGATAATTATATATATAACATATACATATATAGCCAAAACCAAACCTGTTGCTGTCGAGTTGATTCCAACTCATAGCGGCCCTATAGGACAGAATAGAACTGTCCCATACAGTTTCCAGGCAGCGGCTGGTGGATCTGAACTGTCTACCTTTTGGTTAGCAGGTGAACGCTTAACCACTGCACCGCCAGGGCTCCATATATATATATATGTAAATAAAATGTTTTATTAGGTGGGTATTTAATTACTGGAATTTAGTTAATTGTTTATTGTTGAGCTTGAATGGTGACTTAACACAAGGTTTTTTTGAAAGCTGAAAGAATTAGATACTGGGTGGGTTCAAACTGCCAACCTTCAGCTAGCAAACCATTTGCATCACCTCAAAAACCAAATTACCGTTAAGTCGATTCTGACTCATAGCGACCCTACAGGACAGAGTAGAACTGCCGCATAGAGTTTCCAAAGAATGCCTAGAGTCCTCAAAGTCAACTATGATATTATAAAATCAGTTAGAAGTTCAACAATATATGATAAAGGAAACAAATATATTGGTACTCAACTTACCAAGAACGCCTACTCATTTGGGCCTATTACTTTACTGACATGCTTTGAAAAGATTAGAACAAAACAAATCCATAGACATGTTCTAAGGAGTGGTGAATGACAAGTACTGGTGCTTGAAGCATTATATTATATCGAGGAAAGATACACACCTCTAACTGGGAAGCTTAACTGCTGTAAAGTTGCTGCACTTATACAGTAACCAATCTGAGGCTCATATGCGATGGTATCTAGACATTCATTCCAATCTTGCACATTGGTAACAGGACAATCCTGTAGATGGGTGACAAGGTCTCCCACAAAAAGGCCTCTGGGTCCAATGGCAGGTGAGTCCTTGGGAAGAGGGGAAAAGCAAATTAGATAATTTGTGAAGATAAGCTATGATTAATCTGAGCAAATAATGGTTAAGGACATTGAGTGAACTAAGTATAATATTTTGAAGAATGCAGAAAATAATCCAGCAACAACGGCTTTAAATCCATGAATACAGACCTAGAAAATTAACAAAATAAAACCCAACAATTACATTTACTTTTTTGATTCTCTAGGATTTTGAATATTTGGCAACTGAAAAGAAAATCCACTTGCTGACCGTGAACATTTGAATGATAACCAAGTTTTTCCCAAACTGCTAATTAATTCTGCTGTGTGTGAAAGGAGTCATCAGAATGCCTTTCCTATTTCCTCAATGGATAAAACTGTAAGACAAGTCCTTACCTAAACAGTCCCAAATATGCAGACAATACTGTCAGCACAGTAAATCATGTAAGCTCACTCAATTGTTCACAAAAGTAATTTTCTACTTCCTAACGTCTGAATAAAAGCCTTGATGTCATCATAGTAATTACTGTCTAAGGCAGTGAAATACAGACATTAATGTAAACTCCTACTACATGTTCTGGCAGGCTAGCTCAGGTTTTATCCTTTTTACTTCTTAGGAGTAAACACATTTGACACAAAAGCAGAGATAGAAACATAAACAGTAAAGGTAAATGATGCATTTTATCAACAAACTTCAAGTAGAAAATCTTGATACTATCCTTGTAATTCAGAACAAAATCAATTTCCATTGTATTTTGTAAAAGCTAATGTGTTTCACACCATTATTTGTTAGATTTGAAAGGATTCTAGCAATTTCTTCACAAGAAACTGAGCATTCTGTATATTAGGAAAACTTGAATAAAAGTTCCTGACATAATATGCTAAGTATTACATCATAAAATCTGGTGAAAGAATGCCCCCAAGTAATCCTTACTTACCTCAGCGACTTCAGTGATAAGCACTCCGACTCCAGTGTAGTAAAATGGCAAGAGAATTACTGGGAGGAGAACAAGGGCTAAAATACCCAAGAGTGCGAGGACAAAATTATGCCAGATACCTGAAAAGAGAGAAAAAAGGAATAAGCTCAACCAGGGGCAGGAACAATACAGGTACTTGAACTTTGTAACATCTGGGCATTCTGCTCAATTAGTAAAGTGACCAGAAGAAGCTGTGAGGCAGATGGGTCTACCTATTAGCATAGCAGACGAAATGTTCAGTTAGAGGACTCCTTCATTTCAAATACTGGTATCTAAAAATGAATGTTAATACCAAATTAGGAAGACCACAGGTTAATATGGTTTAACACTAACAGAATTCATATCTTCTACTTACTACACCCTCTTCAGAAAATGTATACACTATCAATTTAAACACGCTTGTGATCTTTGAAAGGCACTTGGAAGTTATTCAAATAAAAGATGAAATTAAAAACAAACATGCTTGCTGAATTAGGGAGCAGAAACGCAAGTAGCATTTGGAAAAAGAGATTGTTTTAATTTTAAGAATTAAACTATTACGGTGAGTAGTATGGTGGAACAAATAGAGTATGTATCTTACATGACGACTACAAAGCAACAAATCATAAAGCAACTGTGCCATTCTTAAAAAAAAATACTCAAAACAAAAAAGGGAACTACATTCACATAGAAAACTATGAAAAAATAGAAAAGAGAAAAACAAGAAAATTAAAGCCACCATCTCTATTGTCAGTAGTTCACAGAAAAGCACAATGAAAATTTGGTATGTATTCTAGTTTTTGTTTCCTCATATTGCTATAACATTTTAAACAAAACATCTATACCTCACTTTTCCCTCTTCTGGTCTTCTAGGGGCCCTGGTGGCACAGTGGTTAAGCATCTGGCTGCTAACCAAAACGTCGGCAGTTGGAATCCACCAGCTGCTCCTTGGAAACCCTATGGGGCAGTTCTACTCTGTCCTATAGGGTCGCTATGAGTCGGAATCGACTTGAAGGCAATGGGTTTGGTTATTTTTGGTTTTGGTCTTATAGCAGTGGCTAGAACTTCCAGAACAATGTTAAATAGCTTTGATGGCATGTCTTCTCTTGCCTTCATTATTTTAATAAAAGAATAGTCAAGCAACAGCATGAGATTGTGGGCCAATTTTATTCTGGTTTATATCTAGGGCTTCAAAGTGGTTCATACCAGTTCAGTCATGGTTGACGAAGCAATACTGGAACAGACCTGAATTTTTACAATTTGGGTGAACCAGAAAGATAACTGGAATGTGAAAATTACGAGTCGAAGCCCTGGAATAGGAGACTCAGAAGAGGTGTAGTGAGCCCTTTCAGGAGCCTGATGCGTGAAAATGGATTATTGGCAGGACTGTGGAGATGAACACAAATTCAAAGTAGTGCGGTTGACCACCATCTTTGAATGGCTTGGAATCCTATGGGCAAGAGATTTGGTTGCTATGCTACATGTACATGCCCTTGTATTCTAAGAAGGAGATTAGGTTTCTAGCAGGGCTTCGGCCTGAAATTTTCCCCATTCCGGCTATTGTTCCAGTTCACCTAAATTTAAAAAACTCGGGTCTGTTTCGGTGTCACTTCCTTGGTCATGACCTTACTGGAGAGAACTGGTTTGAAGCCCTGCTTATATCCTAAGCAGTGAGACTGGGATGAGAATAGAAAAATCTGGCACTTCATGATCCAGGGTTTAAGAACGACACAATGGGGTCAGGGGAAAATGACAACTATGGCTGTGATGACAGTAGCAAGGAAGCTCTATTAGTTTCCTAGGGCTGCTGTAACAAATTACCACAAACTGGGTGGCTTAAGACAACAGAAATTTATTGTCACAGTTCTGGAGGGTAGAAGTCTGAAATCAAGGTGTCAGCAAGGTTGGTTCTTTCTGGAGGCTCTGAGAAGAAACCATTCCATGCCTCTCTCCCAGCTCCTGGTGGCTGCTGGCAATCCTTGGCATTTCTTGGCTTGCAGCTGTATCACTCCAATCGTCGCCTAATCGTCACATGGCATTCTCTCCCTGTGTGTCTTCTTATAAGGACACTAGTCATTGGATTTCGGCCCGCCCTATTTCACTTCTCTAACCACACAGAAGTGATTTTCAGGTCCCCAGGTGACTTAATATAACACCTTACATAATTATTCCTCTAGTCGCCCACAGAAGTTACATCTAATAGAATACAAACCATCACTTTGGCAAGGATCTGGCTTACTATAATCACAGCATCATTTCTATAGCCACTAGTGTTTTTACTTCACCCTCAAATAAACTGACAACTGGCTAATGTAAAAATGTTTAACTGGTGTTTTAAAAATTATTTAAAAATACGTGCTAAGTATAAAAAATTCAAACAGTATTGGACGAACTAATAAAAAAAGTCATCTTTCCTAAATACCATTTCTCAGCCACCAGTCCCATGCATGACTCACAGTAAACCTGTTGTTATCAATTTCCTGTTTATCCTTCCAAAAATTTTCTATGCTTACACAAGCACATATATATACATATGTAATCATTTATTCAAGAGTATAAACCAGCAAGTTCCCTAATAACAGGATAATTGTAGAAGGATTTTTAAGATGATTAGCCACGAAACAAAACTGCATCACTTTAAAAACTGAAGAATGCGTGTGGCATGCACTGATAGGCTGTGATGCTTCTTGGTTGTGTGTCTGGACACACACACAAACACATAATAAAAGGCTTTGCATGACATAGTTTTTCTTAACAGCTCAACTGCAACAGGTATGGTAGAGACAGCTAGATGAACCCAGTGGTGTGCTGGAGCCTGCTCTACCACCTTGCCAGAGCTGACTGTGTGCACCTCTTCCCAATTCTGTCTCTCGAGACTTCAGGTTGGTAGCCTGCAACTGGCCATGGTGGGAGTATTTACATCAGAGAAGTCAGAAAATGCTGCCTATCAGAGCTCCCCTCTCCAGAGCCAGTTGTTAAACATTTAATGGCACGCCACTAGGCAACGTTCATGATATGGAAGCTGCATGTCAGGAAAAGCAGAGCTAACAAGACAGAAAGAGCCCAAGAATTATATAGGTGCTGAACTACTTACATTTGGAATGTCTGATGAGTTTAAGCCACTGTTATTTTTAGCTTTTATTATGGCAGCCAAACAGATACCTAGCTAATACATATTCCAGGTACCATATTACCATTGCAAAATGTTGCTCTGTTGTTTTTGTTTTTAAAGTGTTATAAATTGTTAAATCCAGAAATATCCAGACCAAGTCTGGTCCAGGACATGTTGGGTAAATGATCTTTCCCATTATATACACAGATAATCTTTTTTTTTTCCTCTAAATTTTATTTTGTTGTTGTTGAGAATACACACAGCAAAGCATACATCAATTCAACAGTTTCTACATGTACAATTTAGTGACACTGATTACATTCTTCAAGTTGTGCAACCATTCTCACCCTCCTTTTCTGAGATGTTCCTCCCTCATTAACATAAACTCACTGCCTCCTAAGGTTGTCAATTTGATCCCATATTGATAGTTCGTAAAAGAGCACAATGCTTAAGGCAGACCTTTTTTACTAGTTAAGCTATTGTTTGGTTTTAAGATGACTTCAGGAGATATTTTTGGTTTAAGGTTTGAAGTTTAGTTAAGGGCAACAGCTTCAGGGGCTCATCCACCATCTATGGCTCCAGAAAGTCTACAGTCCATGAGAATTTGCACACAGATAATCTTAAAACATCACTGGTTATCAAGTTATTTCCTAGATACTATTTTTGCTGATATATTTTGGACATATTTCCATAATTACATATTCATATCTATCCCATTTCTTATATCTGCTACAGAGTAATCCATTTTATAAAAACAAAGATTTATTTGTAAGGTTCCCTACTAATGATCACTTAAGTTGTTACCACTTCTTTAACTTTTCCATACAAGGCTGCAATAAACAGCTTTGCTTATATTGTTACATTGTTTGTATGTAAATAACAGGTTCCTTCTGCATTTGTTTGCTGGCTGAGCCCTCCCCCCAGCGAGGTATTTTCCTAAGCATGCTAACTTTTTTTTACAGCAACGTGTAGAAAAGGACTGGCATGGCGGCGCTTGTGAGGGTGCCTTGCACGGGGAGGACCCGGCTGGCAAACAAACGTGGAGGGCATGCACTGTTTTTGTAAAAATACGGTATCTCTAAATAAGTATGCTTCTGTGAAGGTGTGGAAAATTACCTAGAAACGAAAATGTTGGGTCAAAAAAACATGTAGATTAAAATTGAGCTCCAATGAGTTTGCATTAATTTATGCTCACATAATCAGTACGAGTGTCCGTTTCTCTACCCTCTGAACAGCACTGGATGTTGTCGTTAACTTTAGTCTTTGACAATCTGCTGGGTGAAAAGTGAAATCTTATTGTCTTGATTTCTATTTAAATATGAGTGAGGCTTGTTCATTTTCCGTGTTTACTAAAAGGCTATTTGTATTTCTTTTGTCTGACAACTGCCTATTTCTATCAATTGTCTGTTTACATCTTTACTGATTTTCTTGACTGGATTGTCTTTTTCTTACTAATTTGTAAGTGCTCAAGTACATTGAGGAACTTGACTGGGTTGTCTTTTGCTTACTAATTTGTAACTGCTCAAATACTTTGAGGAATTTGGTCCTTTGTGACAGGTATTATAATTTTTTCCTCTGGTGTGCTGTCTGGCTTGGTTTGTGGTTTTGGCTATATAGACATTTTAAGTTTTGATATAGTCAAATGGCTCCTGTGTATTAAGCCTTTCCTACTTCAAGATTATAAAAGATAACTGTGTTTTCTTCTGTGTTCATAGCTTCACTTAAAAAAAAAATAAAACAAAAAAAATTGAACCCTTTGATTCATTGGGGTTTACACTGGTGAAACTAATTTAGGAAGAAAGCTAAAATTTTCCCCAAGCTGCTAGTGTCAACACAATTCTGCAAAATAATCCATCCCCACTGATTACAGTTGCTATCTTCATTATGTGCTACATTCAGCTTTCCCCCAATTCAGCATTATGAACAGTCCGCCAGGACTGCCTGGATGCTTATACTCTCAGTGTCTCTCTCATCAGGATGATGCTGTGACACAACCCTGGCTTTTCCCATCTAAAAAGCAGTCAGAGAAACAAGGCATGAACAAACGTGGGGGCATACAGCAGCACTAACCCCTTGACTCTCTGGGTAGTCTCCTATGTCAAGCACGCAGCTGGTATCAGATAACCCCTCTGGACTCAGGATCTGCCCGTGCTGGCTCAGTAGCAATGAAGGTGGCGAAGCACACAATTTCCTCCACCTAAACAACTTTTTGTGCATTAAATGATCTGTTCATAAATACACCTATGGAATCTTTGTTACAACTTTTATTTTCTCTAAAGCAGGGTTTCTCAATAGTGGCACTATTGGTATTTTGGGCCAGATAATTCTTTATTGTGGGGAAATGTCTTGTGCACTGTAGGATATTTAGCAGCATCCCTGGCCTCTAAATATGCCAGTCGCACCCTCCCCATTTCTGTATTTTGTAGTTAGCTACAGTATTTATATAGGCAAGCTATTTTATTCTTTAAAACCACTATTTTATTGTTGTTTTTTCTATTACATGAGATATACATGTCAGATGTTAAAAAGTCAATGTCCACACAATATATTCTACAACTGACCACCACTCTCTATAAGTGAATAGGCAAAGAAATTACACCAAAGAAACAGCATCTTAAAAAAGAAAACCAAAAAAAAAAAAAACTCAGCATCTAGCAGTATTTTTGGAAAATAAAATGGCTAAAATAGGTTTAAATTGATTATCAAATCACATCTAACATACAATACCATGTAATTCAATACAGCTAAATGATAGTTATGCAAAATCTATTAACATCAAACAGACCAAAATTAAGACAGCAAACAAAACCTATATAACTTCTTTTAAACAGGAAAACTACTTTATGTATGCCTAGAACTGTCCCATTCCTTTAAAGAAAATCTACTGTAAGCAAAGTTATCTAACTCCAGAAAACCCAAACACGGAATTACCCCCAAAAGTATAAATGTAAACACTTAGAAAATATAAAATGTTTAAAAACTGTAAGCAATGAGCTTCATACTTATACGAAAGCGAAAAATCCTATTTTTAGCACAGTTGCGTAAGACCTGTGTTTTGAACTGAAGGTTTATCATTTATTATTTTCCTATTTGGACCAAACTTTTCAAAAATATTCTATTTTTAAAAAGGCATTACAGAACAAGATAAAGCATCTTAGCAATACTATCTTATAGCACTGGTATATAACATTACTACACATTGTTATAACATTTTTTAAATCTTTTATTTTTACTACTTTATCAAAACATAACCCTTAGAGGCATAGGATTCATTTTTTAAATCCTTTCCTAGAAACAATATACCAAGGGGGGGCATATTTACTCCTCATCATGCTCCTGGAAGATGCTTCCCCAGTTTGAGAAGCGTGTTCTCTCTTCTTTTCACTGGTTGTTTTTGTTCTTGGCATGCGTTAGGATATGAGATTTCAGGTTAGTTGACTGAGCAAACTTCTTACCACAACCATCAAAGGGGCACGCATAGGGCCTGTCTCCGGTATGGATTCGCACATGTGTGCGCAAATTGAAGTCCAGTGAAAAGCGTTTTCCACAGCCTTCAAATATGCACTGAAAGGGCTTTTCTCCAGTATGAACCAGTTGGTGTCGTTTTAGTTTTGAGCTCTCAACAAAAGCTTTGCCACATTCTGCACAGACGTGGACTCTAGGCCCGTGGGTATGCAGATGTTTTCTCATAGCAGAGTTATCCCTGAACATTTTTCCACAGCCTTTATGAGGACAAGCTATTGTTTTGGGAGAATCTTCTTTAGTTCTTTTTGACTTCATTCTAGTAAATTCTGCCAGTTGTTTGGGATCTGAGAGGTCCATGCCAGGAATTCCTTCAGGAGGAAGTTTCTTCCCGGTCATGTAATCTGAATAATCAGGAAGTGAATTCTCCCTACTCTCTTCTTCAGCCACTGTCTCATGGTCTCTTTTTTCGTTTGAGGACCACATGGTGACAGAGAACTCACCCTCCAGAGTCTTGATCTGCACCTGCTTCTGCTCCCACTTTCTGCCGCTGCCTCCTGCCTCGGCCTCAGGGCTGGGGTGACTCTTCATGCCGCTGTGCTTTCTGCTGCGGTTGCGCTTCTTGCCACGGCTGTAGGCCGCTGATGATGAGGAGGCTGACAAGGAGGCCAGCGTTTGCTGGAAGTCGTCGTCTTCGTCGGCAAGTGGGAGGAGGCTCTGGTCCCCGAAGTCATAGTTGGTCTGCAAGTTGTCTGAGTCGTCGTAGCCCACCACCTCTTCTCGTGTCTGCACCATGATGATTTCCTGGTCGTGATCCCCCTGGCTCGGGTGGCTGGAGATGAGTGGCTGCAGTGCGATCAGAGGTGGGTGGTTGTGGCCTCCATGGACCCAACTGCCACTGAGATCTCCGTACTCGACTGCTTCCATCTGAATGGTTTCCATAGGGATGGTCGCCACAGGAATAGTTTCCACAGGGATGGTCTCCACATTGATATGGGGCAGTTCCACAATGTCTTTCGGCATCTCCGAGTTGTCAGTAGGGATGTAGAGAGCGTCCTCTGAAGCCATGGTTATGAGTTGTGCAATGACCTTGGCTACTGGCTGCGGGTGGAAAACCGGAAAATATAGAACGAAAGCTGAGAGTAAGGCTCGAGCTCCGGTGGAACGCGTGGGCAGTTGATGCGGAAGATCAGGTGCTTCCGGGTGCCCTATGCAAGGGTTTCTGGGTACTCTCGCAAGTAGTTCTGAGAATCCCCTTACAGGCAAGCCACACCCATGCCCTCGAGCCCCTGCATGCGCTAGCCCTCCAACTCCTCTGCTCCACCCCC